AATCTTATTAAGGTTTCGTTTGGAATGCGTGTTTGCTTTTTAGCTTTTTGATTTTTTAGTTATTTGTCTGGAGCTAAAAAGTCTCGTTTGAGATATGTTTCTTAGTTTTTTTAACTTTTATGAGAGAAAAAAATGAAATAATTATAATTTAGATGTGACATTTTGTCTCCATTTAGAAAGTTGGGTTAGGGGTTTTTTTGGCTATTTTAGCCACAAAAACAAAATATCACATCCAACACATAATTATTACACTCTTCTCTCACAAAAAAAAAGGGTCAAAAAAGCCAAAAAATCAAAAAGTCTTCTCAAACCAAGCTTTTTAGCCCAGGTTGAAATAGCTAAAAAAACCAAAAAACTAAAAAGCCAACCCACTTCCCAAACCAACCCTTTGTCTTATTGAGTTGAAAAATCTATTTTGCCTTTGTTTAGCTTTTTTGACTTTTATGAGAGAAAAAATGAAATGATTATGAATTTGATATAATATTTTATCTTATTTAACTAAAATAGCCAATTTTGTCCTCTATGACTATTTTAGCCCAAAGTAGTATTCCAAACATAACCTTTGTCTTTTTGTAGCTATTTTAACCCCAACTCAACTTAACCCAACTTTCCAACCCACTGCTTAAAAGGGCTAGGCTCCATTTTAGGATTGTTTTGGAGACTAGTTAAAAGTTTTCTTTTTAATTTTTTTGACTTTTTTTTTTTAAAAAAAAAAATGTGTTAAAAAATAAAGTGATGATATGATTAAAAAAAAGTTTAAAAACTAAGAAATCCAAAAAAAGCCAAAGTTGCGTGGATTTGTGGGATCTGTCATGTGTTTCATTTTATGATCAAAGTTGTTCATTTGTAATGTCATTCATGTATATTATTCATATAAAAAATTAAGTCGATCTAATAATTATAGTCTATTTAATTTGTCACATTTACCTTCAAAAAAATAGATGGTAAGTGTATTTTTTAAAATTGGCCACCTATTTTTTTAATGACAAATGCAATAAATTAAATATGTTATAATTATTAAACTGACTTAATTTTATTTTATGTATAATATACCCAAAAATCTCTATAACATGAATAATTTAAAATATCAAAACAAAACTCACCAGTCCAAAGACCTTAAAACACCCTTTAAGCCAGTCCAATCCACATCAAGACTGGAGGCAACTCCGACCCTTTTAGAAAAAAAAAAAATTAAGTCAATTATAGGATATGCAATTTCATATGAAAAAAAAAAAAAAAAAATGATTTCTTAATGTGATGTAATAATCGTTTATCTTTGATTGCAAATTACTATAAAGAATTGAAGGTTTAACCAATTTCATTCAAAATTCTTTTCAAATTTTTTTTTTTTTTCAAAAGCTGTCTATTTTTCAAATGGAACACATTTTTTAAAACCTTTTTATGAGGGGGATAAATATCAAACAATACAAGGTGAATCCGCTAAGCATTTTTGTATAAGATTCTAATTCTTGGCTAAAAATTGAGAATCATTGAATAGTTTTGGTAAAATATTTTTTGCTCTTTAAACTTTTAGGATTTTTGTTTTCCAATTCCAAATTGAATAAATAACGTAAAAACAAACTTCTCAAATTGCGGTGAAGCATAACATAACTTTCTTTTTTTAGAAAAAAATTATTAATGTAAAAAAAAAAGTTTATAAATGATTAATGTAAAAAAAAAAAGAAGTTTGGGGTTGCTGTTGCGCATGGTGTGCTGCAATAACTCTTGCACATTTTATTGGACTCATTTTAAGACTCAATTCGATAATTTAAACCGTTCATATTTTAAAAGATATCGAATAGAACATATCTACAAAAAATCATGTTGATCAATACCATTGGCCCTTGTCATGTTTATGTGAAAAATTATAACCCATAACTTATTAATAGGTCCTAATAATTGGACTTAACTCCTATTAAGTTGTATTATTACAACAAAATTGATTTTTTACGGCACCACATCAACGACATACAATAAATGCAAGCCGTAGTTTCTTACTTTTATGACTTATTTTTTTTGCATATCGTAAATAATTTTCCAACCACGGCCAACACAATCAGGGGCGGAGGCAGCATAGGCCGAGGGAGGTCACGTGCTCCCCCTCAATTTTGCATTTTTATTTTTTTATTATTGTCATCTATAAAATGTATTCTTTTTTTTTTTCCTTAACATATTCTTTGGCTAATGATTTATTATATTGTTCACAACAAGTAGTTATTTGATACTTTGGAAACACTATGTGGTATTATTTATGTAGTAGTTTAAATCAATAATGTAGCGAAAAATATTATAGATTGGATATAATGAACTCATTATTTTCAAGTAGTTGACATACTACTTAGCGTGATTTGTGATTTTCTATGCTTTGAGCATCACGTAGGTGACATCTTATGGTACTCTAAGACTGTTTAATAATTTTTATTCAAAACACATCATTTATAAGTAATATCATCTCTTTAATATTTTTTTGTCAAATAAAAATTAAATAGATTCAATAATAATTTGTGCTATAAATGATGCGTTTTTATTTTTTAAAATTAGGAATTTTGATCCATAATTTTTTTGTGCTAAAATTGGAAACTTACATTATCATCTCACACCGAGCTATTCTACACTATTATACAATTTTGATTTGTTCTTATTAATAATGAATATATAATTTTTTATATTTAAATTTATCTCATAAAATGATTATTATCTTAATGTTGCTCAAGAATTTTTTTAAATAAAAAATTATAATTAATAAGTGCTACTTCTAACCTTGGTAGCATGTATTCCTTTCATGATTTCATCTCTAATTTGAGTCTGATTAGGAGTTGCTTCTGAGGTGGTGTGGTGTGTGTTGATGTTGGCAGATTGTTTCCATTTGCTCTGATTTTAAGGTGGTGATTGTTCCATTTGCTCTGATTTCAGAGATGTAGCTCGCAGGTAGTTGGCTTCATTTCTCAGGGGAGCTGCTGCTGTTGTTCTTGGTTGCAGCTGATGCTGGTGGCTGGTCTGGGTGGTTGGCTTGCTGTTGTTGGAGTCTGTGCAGATCGTTGGAGGGGAGTTGCAATGCTAATGTTGCTAGTGTCTTGGTTGAAACTGTTGATATCTGGTGTTGATTGTTGGTTTGGTAGATGGCTGCTGTATGATGTTATGCAAATTGTAGGAGGGGAGTTCTATTGCTATTGTTGGTAGGGTCTTGGTTGGGGTAATTTGCTTTGGCTGGTTGTGCTAAAATGCTTTGTTGGTTGTTTTGTATGTTATTTCCTTTCTTTATTTTGTTTGTTTGTTTCTGATTGGTTTCTCACCAATCTTGGATAGTGCTAGCATATGAATGTGCTTCCTTTGCGGTGCCAACCTAGTTGGGATCGTTAAAGTTCGTTATGATGCTTGGTGCACTCTCCTGCTTTGTTGATGTAATTTATGTATGTTTTGCTTTTTACATTAATAAAGTTTTTTGCTGTAAAAAAAAAAAAAAAAAAAAAAAAAAAGTGCTAATTCTAACCTAATTTTCTAGCTTCGCCACTGCTTCCACCGGCTGTCAAAGGCATACACCACCGGTACAAGGAAAAGAAGAAAGGTTCACAATGACGAAGATGGCGGCGAAACAAGGTGGCACAAAGCAGGAAAAACAAGGCCAATTCTTGTTGGTGGGACAGTGAAAGGGTTCAAGAAAATACTAGTGCTCTACACCAACTATGGTAGGCAAAGGAAACCTACACCAACTATGGTAGACAAAGGAAACCAGAAAAAACCAATTTGGTTATGCACCAATACGATCTTGGCAATAATGAGGAAGAGAGAGATGGAGAGGTGGTGGTTTCGAAAGTTTTCTACCAAACACAGCCTAGACAATATGGTTAAACTTCAAGCCATACAGATTCAGTGTTTGACCAAAAATCAAGTCATGGAATTGAGAACACACAAGGTTATGTGAAGGGATATTGTAATCCAACTACATTGATATCCTATGATATCGGATATGGAGGGCAAAATAGGGAAATCACACCTCAGCCAGTGACGGAGCCAGAAAATCATATTAGAGGGGAGACTTATTAATTATAATATCAAAATTTTTTACAAAAATATTTTACGTAAGTTTTTAAGATTAATTTTGAGAAACATCAAAAAATAATTAGTGTGTTTGGTTTGAGTTTTCTGGATTAAATTTTTTGAAAATTGGTTTTTTTGATTTTCGTATTTTTTTTTGTTTTTAGTGAATATTTTTTAAATTTTAAACATTTTTTTTTTAACTTTTTAGATGCACCTTACTTAGATGTATCTAAAAAGTAAAAAATTTGTGAAAAATATTTTTAAAAAATTAATAAATACATAAAAATATAAAAAATGTACTGAATTCTTGTATTTTTTTTTATTTTTGGTATTTAGTGAATTTTTAAAAGATTTTTTTTTACAATTTTTTTTACTTTTTAGGTGTATTTATGTTAGGTGTGTCTAAAAAATAAAAAAAAATTCCTTAAAATATTAAAAAACTTCAGTAAAAACAAAAAAACACGAAAAATACGAAAGTAGAATTTTCTGAAAAGTGTTTTTTGAAAAGTGGAAACAAACAAGGTGAATGTTATTTATTACTAGTGTATCATGGACAATATAAAAAAAAATATAGATATAAGTCTTAAAATATTGTATAATGATAAATTATTTTTTTTATACAAAATTTGATTAAAAATTCAATGTAATGGTAATACCACGTTATCATTAACATGTGATATCACTAACTAAGAGTAAATAAACACATAGAGACTAAACCTCACATGTCAAATATAACTAATAATCTAATAAATTGTATATCTTTATAGTGAGATTACTTATACTTGTATGTCAATAATAATGACATCACCGTTACATTTAAAATTTTTTATAAAATTTTCATAAATAATATAATTTATAATAGTCTCTTCATTTTCAATCAAAATAACCATTATTGTTCTCATAATTTTTAAAATATCATTAACATTTCACTCTAATAATATTTTTATAATTTTTTTATTTACTCTCTCTCAGGTCTCTGCAAAAACTCTTCAAACCCCTACCCTCTCTCTGCATCAGACGCCAAATCCCAAACCCTCCTCTCTTTCTTTTGCAAAAACTCTTCAAAACCCTCACTCTCTCTCTTCTTTAGACCCCAAATCCCAAACCCAAACCCCAACCGGCATAACAATGAGTGAGAAGGAGAAGATGGACAAAGAAAATACACACAGACAGAGCTCTGAACCAGAAGAAAAGAACAAAGAAAGAGAAGTAATGACGGAGAGAGAAGACGGCCGAAAGGAGACAGAAGAGACGAACGCACGCAAAAAATGCTTCCACCCTTCAACCAGGTTTGCAGATTCAAACTAGGGTTTTGATTTTGGGATTTTCACTAAAAAAATCAAGGTTTTGATTGAACAATTCCAAAATTATGTAAAATTAGTGAACCTTAAGGAACTCTAGTTTCTTGAATTAATTCTGAAAGCATGTGATTATATTGTTTTAGATTGTGAATTTTTCTCTTTTTTTATAAACTTCTTGAATCTGAGTTGGGAAAAATATCTTCAATGTCAATTGCTTATTGTGAAATAAGTTGTGTAGATGAGCAATTTGTTGAGTCCATTTGGCCATGGGATAGGATGGAATTTATAGCTGTTGATGCTGATGGGAGTGCTGGGGGTTTGTTGAGCATTTGGAACCCTGACATGTTTATAATGTTAGAGTGCTGTGGGAATAGGAATTTTTTGGCTATATCAGGTACAACTCTTGGTTCTTTTGATTGTGTGTTAATAAATTTATATGCCCCCGAATGATGTAGTGAAGAGAGAACAAGATTATGGGAGATCATCATTGGGTTGAGAGTGCATTTTCAAAATCCTTGGTGTATGGGTGGGGATTATAATGAAGTCAGAAGTATAGCAGAAAGAAAGGGGTGTTCTAGGAGAGATAAAGGGATGAATGATTTCAATAACTTTGTTGAACAGTTAGAGTTAGTGGACTTACCAATGTTGGGTAGGAATTTTACATGGTGTAATTCAATAGATGGGGGAAGATGGAGTAAAATAGACAGGTTTTTGATGGACTTTGTTTGGTTGGAAAAATTCAGATTCAAGTTATGGGGTTTGCCTAGAAATATATCTGATCACTGTCATTTGTTGTTAATGGAAGATGAGAGAAACTGGGGTCCTAAACCTTTTAGGTTTATCAATGCTTGGACTTTACATCCAAATTTCAGAGCAGTAGCATAGAAGATTTGGGCTGGATCACAGGTGCAAGGGTGGGTTAGGTACAAGCTTAAGACGAAACTCTTTGATCTCAAAGCTGAGTTGAAAAGGTGGAATATTGAAGAGTTTGGAATAGTGGAGGATCAGTTAAAGAAAGCAGAGGAGGAGCTTCATGCATTGGATCTAGTGGCAGAGTCAAAAGAACTGGAAATTAATGAAATAGCGGCCAGAAGGGAGGTCAAAAGCTTGGTATGGAAGTTACGTAGAAAAATGGATTGGATTTGGTTCCAGAAGTACAAGTTAAATTGGGATCGATGTGGTGACAAAAATACCAGGTACTTTCATATTATGGCTAGTAAAAGACAAAGAAAGAATTTAGTTGATTCAGTATTAGTTGATGGGGTTAGTGTTGAGGACCCTAGGTTGGTTAGACAAGAAGTGTTGCGGTATTTTTCCAAAGCATTTTCTGAAGATGGGAAATCTAGACCAAAACTGGTAGGAAACTTTGCTTCAGTTAGTAGATCAAAGGTGGTGGAGGTGTTGGAAGCAGAGTTTACAAGGACTGAGATATGGGAAGCTGTGAAAGATTGTGATGGTAATAAGGCACCAGAACTGGACAGTTTTAACATGATTTGTATTCAAAAATGTTGGAAGTTTATGCAGAGTGATGTGGTCCAGTTTATGCAGGATTTTTACTCCAATAGTAAGCTGGTCAATGGGCTAAATAGTTCATTTATAACCCTTATACCGAAGAAGTTATATCTCGAAGGATTGGCCGATTACAGGCCTATAAGTTTGATTGGAGTGATCTATGAAATTTTGGCTAAGGTTTTACCAAAAAGATTGAAAAAGTTTTACCAGAGGTTATTAGTGAAGTGCAAACAGCTTTTCTGGGTGGTCGGAATATCTTTGATGGAGTAATGATCGCTAACGAGGTGGTAGATTGGTGGAAGAAGTCAAAAAGGAAGGGAGTCATACTCAAATTCGATTTCAAAAAGGCCTATTGTCACGACCCAAACCCGCCTCTAAGGGTTTAGTATCGTAACCAGCCAGTAATCCGTGATTACCAAAGGCCTGCTTAACAGTAATGACAGTAATACAGAGTAAGGGGCTGGCGGAAGCCAAACAGTAAATAAAAGATGTCCAATGAGCTGTAAAAATCTGAATGGAAAAAGACTTTTATGGACTAGTCCACATCATAACCATAAACATATATGCATATCAGATGCAGATAACATACAGGTTAGGGATCCAATCCCTTCACCACAACTATACACTCAAGAGTCTTAAGCATTCATTACAAAATAGAGCCAAAAGGGTGAATCTGAAACACCTCAAAAACAGCCTTGGCTTGAACAGACTTGGGACCTCGATGTGAGGCACAACGATTGACTTGACAAAACGTGAGTTTAACCTGACGCTTCTAGCTTCGATCCGGTGCCTGGCCACCTATATATATATATATAAACAGTGAGCTAAAGCCCAGTGAATAACAACTGTGTAAGGGGGTTAAGAATGAATGTTCTTTCAGTAATTAAAACAGTCAATTGCATCAGTAGATTAGTTATTCAATCAGTGGCTCATATTTCATGCCATATCAGTCAATTAGAAATCATAACAATCATATGTGGTACATCCAATAGTAAAACAGTACAGTAGGTCTTAATAGACCGAGCAGTCAGTTAATGGCCATCAAACAATAAACAGTAGTAGTTCCAAACATTGGAACTGACAAAGATCTCTGTAATAATAGCAGTAACAGTAACAGTAACAGTAAGTTGCTATGGATGCCATGAGTACAGTTTATAAATAGGACAAACATTCATTCAGTAAACAATGTTATTTCAGAAAGCAGTACAGTCAATCGTTCAGAAATAATTATAATTGAACGTATCTTTAGAATATTGTTACTCACAGATTACTGGGCTATAGGCAGGCTAATCAGCGTCCTCGGATGCCAACCCTATATAGTTGCAGAAAGAACACACACTAAGTACACACTCAGGATTAATAACTTAGCCCCTAATTGGCTTTGTGTGGTTCTATAACATTATCATCATTAAGATGCCTTAAACATGGCCTATGAATGCCTAGGATGGGATGATGATGCAAAAGTGTACTTTAAAATACTTTTCAAAATTTGCTGAAAACAGGGATTTTGCTCGAGCGTGGCTTTTCCCGCTCGAGCGAGCTTACCAAAACAGAGGGGTCGCTCGAGCGTAGACTCCCTCTCTTGAGCGGTCTGTAAAAATGCAAAAAAGTACTGGTTATTGAAAATCTCTGCTCGATGCTCGCTCGAGCGTGAGACACAGTTCTTTGCTCGAGTGTGGATCTCGTCTCTCGAGCGTGCATCTGCACACGCACAAAAAATCTGAGAGCTTGTAATCTACAGTCGAGCCAACATTCCGTCGCTCGAGCGGAGCTCTGAACACAAAGGTGGTCGCTCGAGCATGGAATCCTTCGCTCGAGCGTGGAAGCCAAAATCTGGGTTTTCCAGATTTACTTCCAAAGCTCAAACCAAGAATTAAACATGCCAAAACTCATCCTTTTGGGATAATTTTCTGGAAGACACTAAGAAACTCATAATACAACATGTTTTGAAGATCATTTTATGAAATCAAAGCCCAAAAGTATGTCAATTGAACACAATTCCAATGAAACTTTCAAGAATAATGCAAGAACATAACATACATGAGTTCTCATGAACTCTAATGCTCCAAAACATGATCAAATGCAAGATTGAACTCTAAAACATGGTGAATTCTTTAACCACAACTAAAATATGAACATGCATGTATGATTTTCGTGAAAACAACCTCAAAATGGACATGCATGCATGAATTCACTCTCAAATCAACATTTTGAGCTAATTCTTGACTCTAATCACCAATTGAACATAATTTCAATGAAACCTTCATGAACAATGCATGTAACACCTTAAATTCATAATCAAGAGAATGAATTTCCTACCTTAAGTCTTGAATTCCAAATGTGTTAGCCCAATTTTGCAAATCCTCTTCAATTCCTCTAAATTCAAACAAAATTCTTGATGAACTCTATTTTTCTTCCAACTCTCTCTCTCTCTCTCTCTCTCTCTCTCTCTCTCTCGTTTTTGGTCTAGAAGGTGGCTGAAGAATGGTGTGAATTAAGCTCCAAACAAGGTTTGTAAAGGTGGCCCACTCAATGGCAAAAATGTAATAACTCAAGTTAATGTAATTTAACATTGTTTATTCTAATTTAATCATTCTAAATTGAATTTTAATTAAACCTGCCATAAAATCACATAATTCCTAGTTAGTATATAACACCAATCAATTCTTGAATCAGTCGTCGATAAGGCTTTCATTTTGCAATTCGAAATTAAAACATGAACATATCATTTAATAACAAACAGATAGAAATGCATTTAAAACAACACACTCATGAAATCAATTTAGGATCTCATCACAATCAATTACTTGTTATGCTTAGTCACAATTTAACGCTAATCAGAGGTAAGGGTTGTCACACCAATGATTCAATTAATTGAGAGTATTTGTTCTCTATGATGAATAATCTTGGGTTAGGCGAGAAATAGGTGGGATGGATGAGAACATGTATCACCACAGCAAAAGTGTCTATTTTAGTCAATGGGTCGCCAACGGAGGAATTTTGTCCACAAAAGGGGGTTCGGCAAGGAGACCCGCTATCTCCTTTTTTGTTCAACATTGTAGCAGAGGGACTTAATGTGCTACTGGAAAGAGAAAAACAGGTGAGGGTATTATAGGGGGCATCTGTTGGGTCATCAGGCTTAAGAGTATCACGCTTACAGTTCGTTGATGATACGATCCTTTTCTATGAAGCAGAGTGGACTGAAATGGTGAATGTGAAAAGAATTCTGAGATGTTTTGAGGTAATGTCAGGATTAAAGATAAATTATCATAAGAGTATTCTGTGTGGCGTAGGTATTAGT